TGTCCCTGTGTCCTGCAGTATATGGTGGAAGACTGAGGCCAGGGGTCGGCAACGTTTGGCACGCGGCTCGCCAGGGTGAACACCCTGGCGGGCCGGGCCAATTTATTTACCTGCTGACGCGGCAGGTTCGGCCGATCGCGGCCCCCACTGGCCGTGGTTCGCTGTCTCGGGCCAATGGGGGTGGCGGGAAGCCGTGGCCAGCACATCCCTCGCCCGCGCCGCTTCCCACCTTCCCAATTGGCCTGGGACGGCGAACTGCGGCGAGTGGGGGGCTGCGATTGGCCGAACCTGCCGCATCAGCAGGTAAATAAAACTGGCCTGGCCCGCTAGGGTGCTTACCCTGGCGAGCCGCGTGCCAAACCTTGCCGATCCCTGAGCTATGGCATTTGTTCAGTTACACTTTTTACAAATGCATCTACAACACCAAACATGTTCTTGTCCTCCCAAGTACTAGTCATGCTATAGAGTCTATAAAGGGGAACCAAAAACTCTATCATTAATGCAAAGGAGTGTCTGAATATTATTAGATATAACTTCTATTTATATAGCACTTTTGATGCCAAAGGATAAAAGGCACTTTATAAACTTAAACTGTTATAAAGAAATTGCATCATCCCACTAACGAAATGTAACCAGCACTGGAAAGCACAGCAGCACATAGCAACACCAGCTACCTTCTTAGGGTAGGAGGTGAAGGAGAATACTGTACAAGAAATTGTAATGGGAATTTGAATAGGCAGACTGAATCCATAATTTGAACTAAATTTAAAGGGAAAGCTAGATATTATACTGCATGGTTGTGTTTTGTTACTACCTATATATGTAGGGGGAAATGAAATGCTTACAAACATCTGGGCAGAAATTCATATTTTATTTCAAAATAAGACCTATGTCCTAGAATAAGAGTTGTAACCTACTCTGAAACACTGATGCTGAATTTTAATTTAATCCTCCTTTAATCCAAAACTTAAAGACATGCTTAACTTTACTTACATGAGTAGTTCTTCTGAAATTTAAAAATAAATAAATATAGGAGTCAATGGGACTATTCACATGCATAAAATCTTTCTAGGACCAGGGTCCGAGTTTTTATTTACAACAAATATAACTGAACACTTTTTCATTCCATTATCATCCCACAGCCTGATGCAGCCACACCTCCTTTTAGGTTTCAACATTTAAAATAGGTACATCTATATCTCAATATATTAAAAAAAAAAAACATTTACAATTGTCCATGTGTACACATACAAGACACTTAAACAATATAGACATCAATAATGGTCATTACAATGACATCTCTTCATTAGTAGGTAGAAAAATAATTCCATACATTTTCTCATTATTTCATCTTCTTATTACGGAGTCACAAAAAACAAAAAAAACTCAAATCAGTTTTTGCCTCATATCTATTTCTATAAAAAACATTCACCACGAATACATTCAAGAAGACAGCTTGGGGAAAAAATAAAAATCACCTACATATATGAAGCTAAACTAATGACATCTGACACTACAACTTTAGACTCAGGTAGGCTCAAATATAGCTTAATGTTCCAAAGGGATCAGTTCCTTTGGGATATCCACTTGCCATACATCTTTGCCCCCTTTAGCAGGAATAGGTTCCAGTAGCCATCTTGGATTTGAAACAACAGTCAAATATTTCTGCTCCAGGCTAGTGAGTACAGCTTGATTTTCCAGCTCCAAAATCTTTTCAGGAGATACATTTTCTGGATACTGTGAGGTCTCTCCAATGTCAACTAGCCCTGTATTATAAATGCAAAAGTTACTTGGCAGGTTAGTTCCCCTCCCCAACAGAAGTTTTCCAAAATAAATTCTCAACAACTTCCCAGTCCACATAAAAAACAACTAATTTATATTATAGGAAGGTCTCTACATCCAATATACACACCTTAAACAACAAGTGTCAATCTCTGCAAAAGGCAGCCTATGTGACTCAAGATGAAAAGAAAGATGAGCTGAAGCATGCAGCTATAAGATTAATAACTCAGTGCAATGTAATTCTGTTAAAAAGAAGTTCTGCAACTACTGAGGTATTATTGAAAACTTGGGAGCCAAATTCAGCCCAGGAACAGCTCCTCTTAAAAAAATAGAACTGTGCCCACTTATAACAGCTGAATTTTCCCCTATTTTATTAAAATATCAACAAAAGAAAGTAAAAGGGGTACTAGACAGCAGAAACTTTCATATCTTTCCGTGATTAAACATTTTTATGAAATAAAGGCCAAATAAATCCTCATTCCTTTTTACAGTTTAGCATGTGATTTAGGCAGAGATTATAAATCTACATACACCTCTACCTCGATATAACGCTACCCGATATAACACTAATTCAGATATAACGTGGTAAAGCAGTGCTCCGGGGGGGCGGGGCTGCACACTCCGGTGGATCAAAGCAAGTTCAACATAACGCGGTTTCACCTATAACGCGGTAAGATTTTTTGGCTCCCGAGGACAGCGTTATATCGAGGTAGAGGTGTACTACCTAACAATTTTCAGTATTGTACAGATGGAACAATATTTTGGTTTATGTGATAAACTGTTCCTAAGGAAATAAAAATATTAAAATGAAAATGCAAGAGTTGGTCGGACAAAAGAATTGATATAGATGAGGCTAAAAACAAAAAATGGATACAAACTTCACAACTACACATACAGTACATCTACTTCAACATAATTTAAAGCAAAGAAACAACACTTCTGTCATAATTTTGTACCTCAGTAATAAACTTCTCCATTGCCCAAACAATAAAAAACAAAATTTGGAGTATTCAACCATTTGCACAATTGAAAGAGGCAGCCATCAAAATAATGTAATAACATGATATGAAAAGCATGCCATGACTTCATTTAACTATAGGAGCACTGTAAAATAAAAAAGGACTCAGAAGCTCAACATGCAAGTAAATACATGTACAATCAGCATTTTTAGTAACATAAATTTAGCATCTGGCCCATTTTAGACCCTCTCAGACTATTACAAGCTGGGCAGAGGGTGCTGGCATTTGAAAATTTAAGCCCCAATCCTGCAGATACCTATGCATGAGCTTTACTTTGTGTGTGTAAAGTTGTCTCATTGACTTCAGTGCCACTACTCATAGAACCTAAAGTTAAACTTGTACATAAGTCTTGGCAGGATTGGCACCTTACAGTCACTTTTCTAAGTTCAGCTACTCTTTAAGATTTCATATACTGCATTACAACTTTCGGCCCAAATATGACCACATTTCCACCTACTCAATCTCACTGATATCAATAAGGTTGCACAAGTGGAAAGGACAGCAAAATCTAGCCTTTTGTATTTATTTGGCATTTTATTTTTAATGTTTTTGTGAACTTCACAGCACCTCACAAAAAATTACAAAGTTATAAAAAAATTGTCTAGAAACAGGTTACAAAATTTGTGCTTAAGAAACTGTGTTTACAAATTTAAAACATGCTTAGGACTGCGTGCAATAAAAAAGATCAACATTGCTTACCAGCAATAACTCCTCTGCCAAATTTTTCCCCTTTATCTAGTAACTCTTGAACTTGTGTAGGTGTCATGCCAAGTCTATTCAGAAGGATCTCTTTCCATGTTTCATCTTCCCAGTCCTTAAAAGCTATGTGAATAGCAATAGTGCAGTTCTTATAGTCTACCAGCAAAGGACGCCAACGAGTCTCTATTGTTTTGACTTTGTTCAAAACCAATCCAGCATAGGGTTGCCGGAAGGAAAGACAGCCAAATATCATCTTTCTTCAGAGTCACTCTTTACCTTATATTTCTCTCATATCCTGTTTAGTTTATGAAGGGGGAAAAAAATTAATTAGTTTAGCACAACACCCTAACGTCCAGGACTTGAAAATCTATCCAGCAGTGGCCACTGAAAACTAATGCATCTGCCTGCACAACAGTCTTGGGAAGTTTTGCAAAATATTCTGATTATTCAAGTCACTGTACCTTCAAAATGTCTTAGAATTTCTAGAAAGCAATAGTGAGTTTTCAAACATTTAATCTGTCTTGACACTCCAAAAATTAGATTATGATCAGTTACACTGGTGTCTATTATTATTTGTATGGTAGTGGCTAGAAGCTCCAACCAAGATCAGGGGCCCGTTGTAACAGGGCACTGAACAAACACAAGAGTGAGAGACTGTCTCTGCTGGACAATGTTACAATTTAAACAGACAAGTCAAACAGAGGGTGGGAGATAGGAAATATTATCCCCATTTTACGTGGGGGAAAGCCTTTGGTAGAGCCAAGAACTGAACTCAGACCTCCTAAGTCCTAGTCTAGTGCTTTACTCACAAGACCCTTACTAAATCAGATGTTACTCTGTCACCGTAACTGAGATCAGAAACTAGCTACAGATATTTACAAATAGAAATTAAACTTTTCCCATTAGTTTTCAGCCCATGTCATGGAGAATGTTTCAGAAGAAAGAAGCAAAATGCAAGACATAGGGACAAGAGTGGGAGCAGGACACAAAACGAATCATTAGTCTTGAAGGTTTGGAAGAATAAGGGAGGAGTTGGAAGACAGGAGAGCTGAGAGGCAGGAGCTAAATTGTCCTGTGCCTTGTAGGCAAGGGCAAGAAACTAAGAATCGAATGAGGTGGGCCTGCGAAAGGCACCAAAGATATTTGAAGAGGGTTTGACCTGCCCAGAGTGGCAGACAAGATGGAAATATGCTAAATCTAACTATAACTATGTTTGTTTTTTCAAACACAATGAGAACAGTATGTTGATGGGATTTACCCTTGTTTGTTTACAAATCAAATGCTGGGGCACTGTGCTACAGAGCAGGAAGGCCAACATGTTAGAACAACTAGAAAAGTCCACCTTTGGCAAGAAGTAAACAAACAGCATCCAGGGGAATTAAATGTTTAACAATACTGTACGCTCAACAGTATGAGGTATTTTCGCTAGCACAGCAAATTCATTTTATACATGGTATTTATCCTGACAGTGCCCAGTAAAACTATTACTTATAATAATAATAATTTTAAAAAATCATTCAAGTTGTCTCAGAC